CTGAGCTGCCAACAGGTGGCAGGATGGCTCAGCTAATAATAATTTAAAAAAGCAAATAAAATAAACCACATGTTTAGTATAATGCACTTCAGTTTTTGCACTTCAGGCTTTCCTAACCGTGGATTGAACTGCTGTTTGCAAAGGCCTGGACCAGGTATACTGGGAGATGTAAAATATAAGCTGCTGCACACTGTGGTGGTTCATTTCATGTGTCACGGGGCCACGGGGCACCCAGAGAGTTGGTCAGACATTCTGGGTGTTTCTGTGAGAGTGTTTTTGGATGAGTTTAACATTTACATTGATAAATCAGATGGCTCTCCCTAATGTGGTGAGCCTTACCCAATCAGTTGAAGGGCTGACTAGCACAAAAGGCTGACCCTCCAAATAAGAGGGAATTCCTCCTACCTCACTGCTTTCAAACTGGGACATCGGTTTTTATCCTGCCTTTGGACTCACTGAAACATCAGCTCCTCCTGTGCCTTAAGCCTGCTGATCTCTGGACTGGACCTACATCACCGGCTCTCCTGGTTCACAGACCTTCAGGCTTGGACTGGATTTACATCGATGGCCCTCCTTGCTACCCTGCTTGCCAAGTCAGATTTGGGAACTTGTTATTCTTCATAATCACATGAACCAATTCCGTATTATAAATCTCATTTTTATATATGTATGCACATATGTATTCATATATACGTACACACTGTCTGTCCTGCTTCTCTGGGGAACCCTGACTAATACACATGCCCTCAAGGAGTTTAGGACATAAAGAGGAGACAGCTCCGAGAAGAGACTGAGGATGTTCACAACTGACTAGGAGAGCGCCACATTTAGGAACGTGGGCTACAGGGTCAGACAGACACACCTGGACTCCGGTTCTGGCTCCATTCATCAGCTCTGTAATTATGGACCCATCTCTTGATCTCTCAGCCCTGCCTTTCTCATCTTCAACATGCGGCTTCAGTACAGTGGCTCATATAAAGCATTTAATACAGTACCTGGCAATAATAAATAGTGGTTTTAAAAATGAGTATGAATTCAAATATAAAACATGTTGAGCAAGAGCACCCTTTTTGCAAATATGTTCTTAGGGTGAGCTGTTCTGGTTGAAGGAGGGAGGGAAGTCAGAGCCCCTCCCTCTTGTCCTGACCTGCTTACAGCAGCCCCTGAGATGGCACGCCAGGGTCCGTGGCTGACTGTGAAACCTACTGGCAGAGACTCTGTGGCCAGGAGGTATAACAGAATCATCATAGAGAGCAGGACGCAGCTGTTTGTCACGTCCCTCAATTTATTTTGTTTTTAAGATGCAATATTCTTCATCTTCTTTCTGTGGTAGTGCTATGAACTGAACGTGTTTTCCCAAAATTCATATGTGGAAGCTCTAGTCCCCAGTGTGATGGGGCACTTGAGAGAATTAGGGTTAGATTAAGTCATGAGGGGAGGGCTCTTAGGATGGAATTAATGCCCTTACAAAGAGATGAGACATGGGAACCTCCTCTCTGCCGTGTGAGGCTATGGCAAGAAGGCGGCTGTCCGCAAACCAAGGAGAGAGTCTACCAGACACCAGATCTGCCAACACCTTGAACTTTGCAGCCTCCAGAACTGGGAGAAATAAATGTTTGTTGTTTAAGCCACCCAGCCTTCAATATTTTGTTACAGCAGCCCAAACTGACCGACTGTGACAGCTAATCTAAAAATACCAGCGTCTCATTTTAACAACTTCAGCAGCTTTCCAACTGGTTGCCCCAGATGTCATCTGACAATTCTCCCCTTGTAACCATGGATAGTCTTCTCAAAAATAAAAATGATTCTGTCAAATGATAAAAAATTTTTGTTAGCCTCTCATTGCTCTTAGGATAAAATCAAAACTTGTAAGTCTGTCTTTATTTCCCTACATCTGCTTCTCCATCCTTTCTCCCGCCACTCTGCCTCATACTGGGCTTCTCAGCTCCTCACAGATGCACTGTGCTCGCCCCCATCCAGGCCTCTATACACATGTCCCCTCAGCTTAAACACCTCTTCTCCTTTGCCTTAATTCCTGTTCATCAGGCTCAGCTTAAATGTCATTAATGGGGCTGCCCTAATTTCTTACATTGGTACAAGTCTGCTGTATTCTCCTAGAGCACCTGCTGTATTCTTCCCTCTACACTTTACTGTAATATTTAATTCCTCTCTCGGCTCAGTACAGAGTAGATTCTTTGAGGGTGAAGGCTTTGTCTGTTTTTTAAGTGTCGTTTCACCAGCCCCCAGCACCATGTCTGGCATATGTTAGATGCTTCATGTTTGGTTATTGGATGACTGCCTTTCCCAAGAAGACTGTGCGTCAGTAATATGTGGGTTTGTAGCCAGTATTGCAGTTTATAGTGCAGCTAAATAGAAGGATTTATCTTGCATTTTTAATTTTTTTTTTTCCTTCTTGTGAACTTTGTAAATTTCAGGCCTGCCGAGGGGCCCAGACAGCTGCAGCCGCAGCTCCCCGAATCAAGAAATTTGCCATCTACCGGTGGGACCCAGACAAGACTGGAGATAAACCTCATATGCAAACTTATGAGATTGATTTGAATAAGTGAGTATCTCTCTGAAAGCTAGGTATTTGATAAGTAAAGGTGAGCTCCTCATCTGATTCAGGGGCAGGCTTTCCACATCGTTGGGAGATTTAAAAACACATTATCTAGTGACTGAAATTTATCATCTCTTTTTAAAATAAGAATGAGGTAGGTGCCTGAATCAGGAAGATCATGCCAAAAAGAATAACTTATAAAATATCTTCTCTTCCCCTAAATTAAAGTATGACAAATTTCTAGGAAGAATGGTAGACTTGGCTTTATGCATAATATTTGAAGTCATTTAACACATTATCAATTTAAATAACAATGCTTTTGTGTTAATTTTGTATATCTGGATATATGTATTCTATAATGATAAACATGGATGAAATGCTGATAGGACAAGATAGGGATGTACATAAAATATTCAAAACTATCTGTACCTATGTGTTAGTTTTCTATTTATGTCATAACAAATAACCACAAACTTAGTGGCTTGAAAAAGCACAGATACATTTATTATCTTAGAGTTCTGTAGATTAGAAGTCTAATAAAGGTCTCTTCAGACTAAAATCAAGATGTCAGCAGGCTGTGTTCCTTTCTGGAACTCAGGGAAAATCCATTTTCTGTTCTTCGGGCTGTTGGCAGAATTCAGTTTCCCGTGGCTGTAAGACCAAGATCTCTATTTTTTTTGTCAGCTATGAGCTGAGGGCCATTCCCAGCTTTTAGAGCCTGCCACAGCCCTTGGCTTGGAGTTCCCATCTTCAAAGCCAGCAATAGCAGGTCGAGTCCTTCACATCATACCTGGAACTCTTCTTTCATCATCTTCACTTGTAAGGCTCTCCAGGTAACCAAAGGCGATAAGACCCAAAGGGTCCTCTTTTGTTATAAATAACATTTTATTTTTGTCAGCTCCTAAAATAGCTCCAGATAAACAATAAAGGAGGTGAAATGGGTATCTTTTATTCATAACAAGCCCCTCTCAACCACACTGGAGTTGATGTTAATGAGGTGAGTTTTAGAGAGCCCCTTGATAACCATGGGATGGGAACTGGTTGCTAGGGGAAGCAACCCTGTTATTAGAGGGTTGGAACTTTCAGCCCCACCCCTGACCTCCTGGGAGGGGTGAGAGGCTAGAAGTAGAATCACTCACCAATGGCCAGTGATGTCATCAATTGTGCCTAAGTAATGAAGCCTCCAGAAAAATTCCTGAAGTGGGGGGTTCAGAGAGCTTGGGTCGGTAAACTCATGGAGGTGCTAGGAGGGCAGCCTGCCTGGAGGGGGCGTGGAACCACTGCCCCACTTCCCACATACCTTGCCCTGTGCCTTTGGCTGCTCCAGAATTAACATTCTCTTATAATAAACCAGCAGTCTAGGAAGCAAACTGTTTTTCTGAATTCTGTGAGCCGCTGTAGCAAATTATCAAGCCCCAGGAGGGGGCCATGAGAACCTCCCATTTATAGCCGATTGGTGAGAAGCACAGGTGACAACCTGGTCTTGCAGTTGGCATCTGAGGGGGCAGCAGGGTAGTCTTGTGGGACAGCCCTTAACCTCTGGCATCTGATGCTATCTCCAGGTAGATAGTGTCAGACTTGAGTTACATGGTGGGACACCCAGCTGATGTGCAGAATGGCTTAGTATGGGGAAAACACCCATATATTTAGTGACCAGAGTGTCAGAAGTGAAGTATTGGAAGTGAGTATTATAAGATGATAGGCCCAGATCTTTAAAAAAATTCCCAGGACCTCAGTAAACCGAGAAAGAACATGGACAGACTGAGTCTATAGAATTACAGTAATGCCTTGGTTTGTGAGCCTAATTCGTTCTGGAAACAAACTACTCATATTGTAAGACATCACTCGTTTACCACGTTTAAGTGTATTTGAAGTGTTCGCTCGTCTTGCGGAACACTTCCAAACCAAGTAACTCGTAATCCAAGGTTTTACTGTAGTCCACTAGAATAAACGCTTCTGTGGGGAGGAATTGTCATCTGTTCTGTTCCCAGCGCCTAGAACAGAACCTGGCACAGAGAAGACTTGGAATAAATAAGTGGTGAGTGAAGAAAAATTAATGAATTTATGACAAATACTTGGGCCTGCCGAGTGGCGCGATGGTTAAGAACTCGCTTGGGATGCCAGAGGGCCCCGGTTCGGATCCCACATATGAGGGCCAGTGACACTGCCCTCTACAGCTAAGATGCTGAACAACGGCTCAACCTGGAGGTGGGCTGCCGTGAGTCGCCGGCGACGGTGTAGGCTGCAGCCCCTGCGGCAGTGGGTTGCCATGGGCTACCGTGTGTGGCCAGCAGCCAGCGTGAGCGGCCAGCAGCCGCAGTGAGCGGCCGTCCAGAAGCCGGCGACTGATCTGCCTCACCCGGGAAGAGCGCAATGATGGTGCCAACTTGGGCCAGTGAAGCGATGTCCTCCACAACTAGATTGAAGAACAAAACGACAGCAACTTGTCTGTCCCCCTTCCCCCAATTCCCCAGCACTGTTCCCATCCCCCCAATTCACCAATAAAAATCTTTAAAATATATATATATATATTATAAAAAAAAAATACTCAACCACTGTAGTATTCAAAGATGTCAAAGTCAGACACTGACAATAATAACATTTCTCCATTCTCAGAATTGCAGAGGTTTTTAAAGATTCCAGTTCCCAGTGTTAGCAAAGGTACAGTGAAAAGGGTGTTTGCATATTGCTGATGTGGATAATGCAGACGCGTTAACCTTACTGTGGTGATGGTTTCACAGTGTGTGCATATATCAAATTACCATGTCGTACACCTTAAATGTACATGATGTTATTTGTCAGTTTTATCTCTATAAAGCTGGCAGCGGGAGAAATACAGATAATGCTAAAGGATGTTTGGGGAAGGCGCATTTTTTTTAAAATCCCATGCATAGAAAAATACTGAGAGGGATGGGGGTGGCAACCGGGAAATAGATATCTTGATCACGTATCTATCTGTGTGGCGGGTACTATGAAAATCGCATGTTTTTATTTGATCTTCATAATGATCCTGTGGTACAAATATTAACTCCATTTTACAGATAAAGAAACTGAGGCTCAGAGAGCATAAGTCATTTCCATAGTCACAGCCTCTGCATGAGGATAATCATAGTTAAACTGAATATACATGAGACACTGCTCTATTTCATTTCCTGGTGTATTCACTCACCTGCGATAGCCCTGTGAGACGTAGGTGTTCCTCTCTGTGCTTTATACATGGGAGGCTGATGAAGTGATTTGCCTGTAACCTAGTAAGCACCCAAGCCAAGGTTCACACCAGTCTCTCCATGCCAGGCCTCCAAGCCCAGGGCTGCTCCCCTGCCACCACGTCACTGCCCCCACGTGCGTGGAACACCCGGTGCTGTGGATTAGGGAACTGCGGTTGATTCATTTTCTTTTATCCACTGCACCCCATTTTCTGTCATGGCTAAGCATTATTATTATTAACTAGGCATTTAAAGCTACTTATTGTCGGATCCGAAAATTTGAAATACACTATTTGGGAAAGCTTTGCAGGGAGCTTCAGAAGAAAAGAACAACCGCCAGCATATGGAAGTTGTTTCCTACCCTAAATACTTTTTTAGCTTTTCATGTCCTAGAAATGTATATGCAGTGTGGTCATCAAAACAGAACCCCTAAAAAAAAAAAGAGTACTTAAAATGTGTAAGAATGAGCAAAATTAAAACTATGGGGGAATTCTGAATGTGACCTAAGAAAGCCAAATGGATAAGAACAGCTAATATATAACATAGGCAGATGTCTCATCATATTATGCTAAAAGTATAGGGAGATTGAACGTCACATACGTAAATGTGACCAGGATTTTGTTGTTTTTGGTTTTGGCTAGATGTGGTCCTATGGTGTTGGATGCTTTAATCAAGATTAAGAATGAAATTGATTCTACCTTGACCTTCCGACGATCATGCAGAGAAGGTAAGCGTTTCCTTCCCTGTTAGGTTCCAGACACTTAGGTCCTGGTTCCCAGAAGAGGGCTGGGCTGGCGCGAACTGACAGAAATAACTAGAGAACAGCTGCAGAGCTCTGCCAGGTGACCTTGCTGTACAGTGCACTTCCTCTTCTTGGGTAAATGTGTCAGACATTTGAACTGTGGTACGGGTACGAGATCTAGTTTCTGAGTTTACTTCCCTTCGGGAGCTTTCTGTCACATGGCTGCTGCATCTGGTTGTCCCCGAGAGCTGCTGCTACCCTCAAGGACTAGCTCAGGTACCTAGCTGGCCACCTCTGCACTGCTGAGCTCCTATATTAGGGGCCAGTGGAGAGTGGCCAGCTGGTGCTTCTGCACACTTCACATTTGTCCAACAGGGGAGGCCTGCGTGCCCACCTCCAGCTCCCAGCATTACGTGTGCAGAGAGCAGGTACTCAGTAGGAATGTTCTGGATGGGAACAGCGTTTCCCACTGTGCTCCTGGTGCCACATGCGCTGACTTAAGGCAGTGTGCAGACCAACATCTTTTACTTTAATAGCTATGTATGTATTTTACATATTCCAAAAATATATAATTATTGATAGTGTAACAGTGATATAAATGGTTTTTTAATATTAATGTCAGTAAAAATGATTTATTTAAAGAAAACTCCTAAATAATCGCTCAAGTGGTGGTACTCAGATGTGGCAAAAACCACACAGGGGTGCTGTGAAGGTAACTGGCCCCAATGGCCATGGAGCACGTCTGTGTGCCAGGCTCCATTCTGTGCACGTTGTGTGAAATAGGTGCAGTTATTATTTACACTCAATGTACAGATGAAGAAACTGAGGCCCAAGGAGGTTACGGGACTTCCCAAAGGACACAACACATGGATGGTGAGCTGGGATCAGCGGAGTTGTTAGATTCCAGAACTACGCTCTTAGGCAGTGCAGTCTGGTCAGGCCTGGAAAACTTGGGATAAAACCAAAACAGAGCGTAGCTTGGGCCAAGACCAAGGACTGGGGTTGAACTTTCTTCCTAAAATAACCTCCCATAAAAGGAGAAGTCACTGTAGATATTGGCCCATTGCATTTTCTGTTCGTTCTGCTGTGTGTGTCAAGCATTGAAAGTCCTATTTCAAAGACATCTGTTTTGATTCAGCTAATCTTACAGGATTGCATTTAATGCAGCCAATGCTGACAGATATTATGATAGTTTAGCTGAGTCCTGCTGTTCAGGGAATATTCTGCTGTAATTAAACACCAACTTTCCCCACAGAAATCCTGGCAACACAGGAAATAGAGATGCTTTTTAGTAACCTTGCCCCAGAAGACTCTTTCAGAGCCAAGAACATAAGGTGTGGCCCACCTGGACTAAAATATATGAGGCAGAATGATATTAACTGCCACCCCTTTTTGTTCCCTTACTGTCTAAGAGAATTTCCAGGAGAGCCTTTTTAAGCGAAGGTTCATTGGATTCTTTTTTTTTTTTTTAAGATTTTTATTGGGGAATTGGGGGAAGGG